TAGTTCGAACTATCTAGCCCGTGCCGCGTGTAGCCGCGCGGCACGGGGTTCGAACAAGCCGGCTTTTAAAAATGGCGGGGCCGGCTTTATGCTAATGAAGCCCGGGAAATTCAAATCCCGGGCTTCATTAGCAAGTTCGGTATGCATACATTACCCCGCAAGTTCGAACTAGCGGGATAGTGTAGACATACCCTCAGTCTCAGAGTCCTTGGGCACTGTCCTACATAACTTAACCCTCTCTGCAAACATTGACATCACAACACTCGCCCTCTTCAATAACGTCTAGACTGGCGCTTTTCTCTGGCTTATCCCCAAGCCGGAAAAAAGCTGCAGCCATGTTTATGCAAATACCGCGGGGGATATTTAAATCCCCCACGGATTTGCGTATTCCAAAGTGTCTAATCTGCATCCCTTTTCCAGAAAAGGGGTGCAGTGTAGACACAGCCCATAAGTATCCAGGAACCTAGCCCTGCAATCAGCCATGGTACCAACTCTGCCCACATATCTATACAAGCGAATTCATTACTGGAGACAACAACATAAGCTATCAAATCAGAAGATCCTCCGGAAAAGAGGTTTATTTTCCGGAGAATTACGTCTAGACTGGCGCTTTTCTCTGGCTTATCCCCAAGCCGGAAAAAAGCTGCAGCCATGTTTATGCAAATACCGTGGGGGATATTTAAATCCCCCATGGATTTGCCTATTCCACAGTGTCTAATCTGCATTCCTTTTCCGGAAAAGGGGTGCAGTGTAGACACCGCCATAACAAATCAGATATACTTAAAGGGAACATACAGAAACATGTTGGGGAACATTTCAATCTACCTAATCACTCTTTAAAAAATCTCCAGGTGACTGTCTTATCACAAACAAATTCTACAAGCCAAAAACACAGAGGCATTGGAATTACAATTCATCCACAAATTCAATTCTCACTCTGACGGATTCCTCAATCGAGATAGTGGATGGCTGGGACATTATCAACCTAACATTCAGGGAAGGTGCCACCAGCTCTTTGCCTGTGTATATTCTTGTGTTAGTACCCTTCCTCTCTAACTGCTATCCTATGATCCTTATCTGCTTCTTTTAACTAGCCTATCATTAGGTGCTTATAGATGACCAGTTCTGCCTATTTGATTTTCCCTTTGATATTTTCATACCCTCTGCTCGTTGTTTCCCACCCCTTCAGTTTTTTTCCTTCCCCCCTTTCACTTCTCCCCTATTTACTTTGGATCTGCGCATCCTGAACTCAAAACTCCGGTCATCTGAAGAAGTGGGTGGTGCCCACGAAAGCTCATAATACCATCTACATGTTTTGTTAGTCCATAAAGTGCTACCAGACCTTTTGTTGTTTTTAAGTTTATCCTGTACAGACTAACTTGGCTTCTCCCTGAAGCTTCGAGAGGATGGTACTATATGTGTTTTTATTAAACTTCCACTTATACCTTTTCTCTATGTTGTCTGCAAACAGTCCTTTGCTGTGGTGCATCTCCTGCTGGCATGAGACATCACTGACCTCCATGCCAGTTTTGACTTACTAAGAACCCCAGGAGTCAATCCATAGGATCCACAGAAATTGTACCAAGCGTAGACAACTTTACTATGTATTATTGCAAAAAAGCAGCCAGTTAGTGATTCCCATGATGACTGCTCTTATGAGGAGGAACAATTTGTATCCATTGTGAGGAGAATATCTATACTCACTGTCCTTTTGGTGCCATCGTGCTGCATGTAAATATGACCCACAGTAATGAAACATGAATTCATGCTCTGACTGTTGAACTTTTCCTTGTAGTAAAGGCAAAAGGTTCTGGCCATCAACTATCCTAGTATGATGGAGACAAGAGAAATCACCAAACTGGGACAATAAATATACTTATTACTCATTATGCAGGAGAAAGTTCTTATTGCCACTGGCACTATATCCTGAGACTCTTTATATGTTTGTATGTAATTTCCCTGCTGCACATAATATACACACAGAACAGCTATGAGAGAAGTTAAGTAAATATTGTAAATCTCTAAATAAAATGGTCTTTGAAACAAAACATCAAGATTACTTTATTGAATTGTACACAAACAGTTGCTACTAACAACTAGTTCTTATACAAAACAAAGGTTCCTATTCAGGAAAGCATCCCTAACGATAACTTAAGAGCACTTAAGAATGCTCTTCTGAATAAGGGTGTTTTTAAGAACATAATGCATCTCTGATTTAGGGCCTAAATTAGTATTCCATAGTTTTCTTGGATTAACAGTATCGAGCAGTGTTTTTTCTCTTATGCAGAAGCATTCCTAAAATGTATTTCACAAAAGGTGCATTTTTCTAATACTTTGTTTTTGCTTTTTCTCCTACGGCAACATTTTCAAAAGCATCTAAGGGTAGGTCTACACTGCCACTCTAGTTCGAACTAGGGTGGCTAATGTAGGCATTCGAACTTGCAAATGAAGCCCGGGATTTAAATATCCCGGGCTTTATTTGCATGTTCCCGGGTGCCGCCATTTTTAAATGCCCCGTAGTTCGAACTACCTGCTCGCAGCTACACGCGGCACAGACTAGGTAGTTCAAATTAAAGCTCCTAATTTGAACTACGTTACTCCTCATTGCAGGGGACCTAGATAAGCATCTTACCTCTTGAGATTAGAAGATTATTGATTTGATGAAATTGGTTTTCAATAACCACTCATAAAGTCTACTCTCTGGATGGTGAAATAAGGCCTAGAATGCCTAAGCAGACTGCATTTTGACTTCTTGGTAACCAGTATGTTGAGATAGAAGTTTACTTTGGTAAATGGTTTGATATATCTAATGATAGAATAATCACCAACGTGGGAGTGACTCCACCCTATTTCACAGCAGTTTGTCCTGAATCTGGTATACTCAACTGTAAAGCATTGAGGCCCAGTGACATTCTCTGTAGACTTCTGGGCTTGGGTAATAGACTAGACTCAGATATCCCTTCAAGGAGGGAGGGTTTCAAAGCCCAGAGTCTAGCCTAAGCCCAGACATTTGCACAGCAATGCTAAAACCCCCCAACCCTGAGCTTCGCGAGCCTGAGTCTGCGGACTTGGGCCAGCCATATGTGTTTCATTGCAGTTGTAAACAGACCCTTGATTAGTTCATTTCATACTCTCCATGGTTTCCTTGTTCTGATCTCTGTCCCATCCCTATGCACCACATGCTATAACCCTAAACAATATCCTATATTATACTTGTATAGCAGCAACATATGCCATCAAAGCCCATTGCTTAATGCATATCACACTATGAATATATAGTATAGCAAGAATATAAGCAGCAATATTATCATTACAGATACATGGAGCGATTATGTTTATTGTCTCTATACCTGTCCTGGGGCACTATGCCTCCACCCAGGTGAGCCACTGTGGGATAAATGTCCATGAGGCTTGTAGGTTCATCAATAACTGTGTCAGCAGGCAATACTCCTGGCCATCTAACTATCCCTGGCACACGGATCCCTCCTTCCCAGCCTCCCATGCCTTTTCCACCTACAGGAAAGTGACATATAACAATAACGATTCATTAGCAGACACTAATGCGAACCTACTCATAAGGCTTGTATACAAAATTAAAGACAGATGGCAGGAGCAACTTGCTCCTCCCTAAGGTTTAATTTTATGGTTAAATTTTGATTTAATAAACTTTGAGAGGAATGCCTAGAATCACTCTAAAAAAATCAAACATACCCTCCAAAAGCAGGAGGAAAATATAATGAATGTTTATAACTACAGCTTGCAGCATGCAATAGATGGGGAAAATGGGCAAACAAGCTGTCAAATATATATTCATCAGCAATAATTTTCTCTCTTTCGTATTACATAGCTCTCTCTGAACTCAGTTGTTACTCTATATCCTTTTGTAGGGTCAGAGTGAACTGCTGTGATAGGAGACAGTTGCTCTGTGGTCTAGCAAACCAAAGGGACTAGAAACACTCTGAGAACACACAAGACTGAAAGGTATGAAATATGTTTTAAAACTTATACAGGCAGTCCCCGGGTTACGTACAAGATAGGGACTGTAGGTTTGTTCTTAAGTTGAATCTGTATGTAAGTCGGAACTGGCGTCCAGATTCAGCCGCTGCTGAAACTTGTAGCTCGTGAGACTGCATCACTGTTTGTTAGAGGAGTACCCTATGAATGAGAGCATGGAAAAGGTTTGCACATAATGTGCCAGTAGATGGCACTGAAGAATACATTGCCAGTTCCGTAGAGCCAAAGGAAGAATGCATGCTGGTCTATGATACAAAGACATCACATAGTGTAGAGGTGAGAGACATTGGCATATCGTTCTGATAAAATTGTCTGATGTTTGTGATACTTTGGAAGCCATGGGTCAATATAAAACAGAATTGGGAAACTGAGGAAGTCTATGGTCACAGCTTGTGGTTCTAAAGATACAACAAAACACTGAAATGTTACTTTGGAAATACATCTCTGAGCAATGCCCCCTGGTGATCCCTAGGCAAATTTCCACTTCAGTAATTTAAACCCCTTTCCCTCACTCCCATCCCACTTGCTTAAGATGACAAGAAATGATAGTAAAGTAGAAAAAGAAGATCAAGTCTGGCACAAGCAATGGCCAACTTTATTTCTGAATGATTTTCCTAAATACATATGGATCAAATTGCTTTTCATTTCAATTTAAGAGTCCATTAAAAAGATTTTGAACACGTGAATATAAATTACATTACACAGTGTTAAATTCCCTTTCCTCTTCTGAATGTGGTGTTTTTTTATGATGTTCATGCTAATTTAGTTTTGGGTATACTGGTAACAAATATTCCCAATATGTTACATTCTTCTATGTTTATATTTTAAGTGACCTAGCAAAATGGCCAGAGAATACTGGCAAAATAATGGGGAGAGGGGTAGAAATGAGTGAAAGAGAATGCACAACTAAATGCTATGTAGAGACACCTAGATATCTCAGAACAAAAATAACTGCTTAATTATAGACACAATAACAAGCACAGCTGCACAGGAATAGGAAATTGCTTCACTTTTGAAGAGAGTGCCACTAAGATATAATCTACATACAGGCAGTCCCCAGAGCAAAGCCGCGGAGCACGCGGCCAACTGACAGCCCAGACGCGTCTGGGCTGTCTGCTGCCCGCGTGTTCCGCCGCTTTGCTTCCTCTCCCTGGCCTGCTGGAGACAAGGGAGAGGGAAGGCCCCGTTCGTAACTGCGGATCCGACATAAGTCGGATCCGCGTAACTTGGGGACTGCCTGTACAGCATTTAAAAAGCCTGATCCTCCATTTTAATTTAGAGATTCAGTACACATAGGTTCTGTTTAGGCATGGACTAATATTTTAAAAAGTGACTCAGGCACACAGGTTTAGTCACTTAGGGCACATCTACATAGCAGGGCTAAAGCCGAAGTAAGCTACACAACTGGAGCTACATCAATTGTTTACCTTAAGTTGAAATAGCTTATTTCGGCTTTTGGTGCTCCACAGCAGGAAGTCCGAGAAAGAGCACTCTTCCTCCGACTTCCCTTACACCTTATACAATGAGGGTTACAGGATTCGGAGTAAGAAGTCCTCCAGCTCGACATTATTTTGACATTACGTCGAAATAATGGCTTGCTAGGTAGATGCAGATTATGTTATTTTGGAATAATGTCAGTTATTCCAAAATAACACTGCTGTGTAGATGTATCCTTAGCAGCCTAAAACCCAAGTTATTATTTCACTTTTGAAAATGACATTTAGGTTCCAACATTGCTTAGGTGGTTTTGAAAAAGTTACCCAAGAACTCCAAGGCCAGAAACATGAATCTGAATAATACAAAAGCTATTATACGATCTTATTTGAACTTTTAGTCAAATGATTTCCCCAAAACACGTTGCATATAGGAATTAGATAACTAGCTATAGGTAGAAAAAAATTTCTGCATCAGGATGCTCTGATTGCCTAATCATATATATAGTAGCCCAATGTCTGTGACTCTGTAAGGCTGAAATTCTGGCTGTTCCCTCTGGGCTGTGCTGTTGCCTCTCTGGCTATTCCTTCTGGGCGGTGCTGTTGCCTGAGTTACGTCCTTCACCTCCCACCGTAAAAGAGCCTGGCTGTGTATATCACTGCCCCACCCCCTTCACCTTCCGCCATGGCGCTTGGCTGACTTCAGCGCCGCTCAGCCGGGCCGCTGCGGGGAAGCCCAAACGGCCACTTGTTCTGCTTGCTCCCCCACAGCAGCTCGGCTGAGCAGCCGAGCGCCATGACAGGACGTGTACCCGTGCCCAAACACCATCAAACTCATTCACCAAGCCTGTAACATGGGGAAGGAAGCTACTTCCTCTCAATGTCAGCACAGACATTTTACAGTCCAGACACATAAAGAAAAGCAAGGAGCTACTAAAGTTTTCTCCTTCTTCTCCATGAAAGCAGGCAAACTCCATTTCAGTAGTACACAATTTTCACAGTTCAGGGAATCACAGATTCAAGTCTTTGCCCCTGGCTATGTACTTGGCAAGTGTTGCACTAGAAACCAGGCCAGGTTGCAAAATTAAATCAAGTTGCAGTTTGAAAAATGAAAACATTTACATGCTTTCTGACATGAACTGGATGGGCTGCTACATTCAACACCCTAATTACATCACAAGCTAAGTATTGGGCACTTGCAGCCCACTCTATGGGTATGTCTACACTAGCCATCCTAGTTCGAACTAGGGTGGCTAATGTAGTCATTCGAACTTGCAAATGAAGCCTGGGATTAAAATATCCTGGGCTTTATTTACATGTTCCCGGGTGTCGCCATTTTTATATGCCCGGTAGTTTGGACTCCCTGCTACACGTGGCACGGGCTAGGTAGTTCAAACTAAAGCCCCTAATTCATACTACCATTATTCCTCATTGCAGGAGGAGTAATGGTAGTCCGAATTAGGGTCTTTAGTTCGAACTACCTAGCCCGTGCCATGTGTGCTCGTGGCCAGGGAGTTCAAACTACCGGGCATTTAAAAATGGCGGCGCCTGAGAACATGCAAATAAAGCCTGGGATATTTTAATCCCAGACTTCATTTGCAAGTTCGAATGACTACATTAGCCACCCCAGTTCGAACTAGGGTGGCAGTGTAGACATACTCTCAGTGTTTAAGGTGCCACAGGACTCTTTCCCTTCCTTTCTTTTTCTGCTATTTATTTGTACTTCTGTACTCCTTGCTCCATTCATCTAAAGAAGTGGGCTGTGCCCACAAAAACTCATGATACTATCTATATCGGGGTGGCCAACCCACGGCTCGCGAGCTGCATGCGGCTCTTCAAAGGAAAAATTGCAGCTCTCACACCCACAGCTCTTCTCATGGTTCCCTGCTCTGATCTTTTTTTCCTTGTCTGGGCAGGGTGTTGCTTGGTGCAGCAAGATCTGATGCTGCAGCCGATGGAAGCCTGCTTGGGCCACACGCGGCTTGCTTGTTTGTTTTCCCTCGGCTCTTTGCACTGTATCCACCACTATTTTGGTTCTTCGTCTATAATGGGTTGGCTACCCCGATATATATTTTTTGTTAGTCTCTAAGGACTATTCATTGTTTTTTAAGTTTTTTCAGTTACAGACTAATATGGCTATCCCTCTGCTGCTTTCTGATTGGCATTTGTCTGGTGTAGAGTATATGAAAAGTATAACAAAACCTTCAGTGTTCAACTTTTCACTATAAGGGTGTGTCTAGACTACACCTCTCTGTCGACCGAGAGATGTAGATTAGGCACATCGAAATTACTAATGAAGCAGGGATTTAATTATCCCATGCCTCATTAGCATAAACACTTTTTTAATGGAGTTTTTTTAAAAAAAAACGGCAGTCTAGATGCAGATCTGTCGAAAATAAAGTCTTTTTTGAAAGATCTTGTTAACTTCATATTTTGAGGAATACAGGATCTGTCGAAAAAAGCTTTATTTTTGACAGCTGTGCATCTAGATTGCCATTTTAAAAAAACTGTTTAAAAAAAGCAGTGGCCATGTTTATGCTAATGAGGCACAGGATTTTTAAATCCCTGCTTCATTACCAATTTTGATGTGCTTGATTTGTATCCCTCTGTCGACAGAGGGATGCAATCTAGATGTAGCCTAAGAAACATCATGTGCCTCCTTTCCTTTTCTGCTCTGAAATGATTAGCCATGCTTCTATGACTTCTGGGGCACATAACCATAAGTGAATTTGTGTGACTGCATAGAGATCATGCATATTTATCCTCTACTGGGAATGATCCCATAAAATTCCATTGGAACTTATGACTATCAAGAGCTTGTATACGCAAAAAAAAAAAAAAAAAACTTCTTTGTACAATTTTCCTTTGCTCTCTACAACAGATCAGGTAATAACTAATTAAATACAATTCAATACTAATTCAATATGTCACCATTCTGTGATGTCTTCCATCCTAGGAATTCACACAGACATTATGCAAAGCTTCACAAAACTGTTGTAAGACAGACAAGTTTAATACCTCCATTCAGACAAAAGACAAATGGAGCTCAGAGAAATTAAGTTTGCTGTTCATGGTTACACATGACATCTGTGCAGCATTGGAATCCAACTCTGAGGGTATGTCTACACTACCACCCTAGTTCGAACTAGGGTGGTAATGTAGGCAACCGGAGTTGCAAATGAAGCCCGGGATTTGAATTTCCCGGCTTCATTTGCATAAAGCCGGGCGCCGCCATTTTTAAATCCCCACTAGTGCGGACTCTGTGCCGCCCGGCTACACGCAGCACTGACTAGGTAGTTCGGACTAGCCTTCCTAGTCCGAACTACCGTTACTCCTCATGAAATACCCATACTGACTCCATCAATGCTAGTTAAGCACATTAATTTTCGATTGCATTTCTAACCTTAAAAGAATTCATATGGTATCTCTTGCCTTTATATATGCCATTCCAGCCACCTAGCTGAGCTTTTCCTTCTTGAGCCTCCAGTTGTCCTCCATGGTCAGAGGCAAAATATGTGAATGTGTTGTTTTCTAAACCTTCCCTATCAACAACATCAAGAATTTTACCTGTAAATAAAAGAAAGACAGAAAAAGAGTCAAAAGCCTACTATGAATCAAACAAAAAGATCCAGATCTAATTAAAACGATAAGGAAACTAATGCTTTGCAAAGCTCTCACAGAAATCTTTGTTTTTAAGATTCTAAAAGCTTGCTTGGTACCAGCATTGCACCTTTTAAAAACCAATGATACATGTTTAAAGGAAGTCTTTCACAAAAGACACTTACCCACCAACCAATCCATTTCTTCTACATTGTCTCCATATAGTCCATGTGTGCTCTTCCCAAGAAATTTCTCCATAGTGAAAAGGGGTGTGTGAACATGTAAAAAGGAAACCAAGAGGAGGAAGGGTCCATGTTTATTTCTTAAAGAATTAAAAGAATATTTTTGTTGTGCATTTGGAAAATTCTAGAAGTTTCACAGTTGCTCACACACACACTATAACTAGAACCACACTCATCTTGACATAATGCCACTGATCTGAATTTAGGCTTTTTGAAGTATTCTTACTCATACTGTGTATAATGGAAAACAGTAGCTATTTGGGGGGCATAATCTCTCTCCCCAGAAGTCTTTCCCTTACAATGCATATAGTATATATTTTCAAAACAATTTCCCTAGTGAGATCAATTGCCAAACCCCCTCACAAGAGGGCTTTACCTCAGCACAAAACTTAGCTATTTTCTACTGTATATTAAAGAGAAAGAGAGAGCATGGTGGCATGGAAGGCTATTAACTGTGTGAAAGCAAATGACGGACACATGATAGAACATCCCAGTAACGTGTGCTCCTAAATCCAAATTTCCAAAGGAATTTAGGCCTTTTTACTTAGAACAGTATTTAGATGCCTAAAGGCCAGATAGAAGTCTTGAGAAATTTTCAAAAATGTTGAAGTGAATGAAGAGTCTATTTCCCACCAAAACTCTTTCAGTAGGAATGCTTAGGCCACTTCTGAAAATGGGACTTAAGCACTTTTAAAATATGTACCGGAAGAAGCTTTGTCTGCTATGTATAGCGCACTACAGTTATCTGGTTGTCTCATGAGACTTTTGTTTGTTTTGCTTGTTTTCTTCCATGTGAGAACCAAGTATGATGAGCCATTGCTGAAGACAGGATACCTGACCAAGGGATCATATGGTCAGAGTCACTACAGTTAATCTATTATATATTTTAGAGAGTTTGTCTGCTTGTTTGATAAAGAACTCCTCCTGAACTCTAAAAGCTACAACTACCAAATTCAGAATACAGCTTCCTCCTACCATAACTTAAAGCAATGTAAAGGCTTGGTTGTGCCAGGGAAACAGGATGTGCCTGGAATAGGATTGCTTCTCATAAAACCAAACAGAAAAGAGATAAAACAGAGAAATTTGATTTAGCTGTGCCAAAACAATGCTTAGGGTTTGAAAACTAGAAGAAAATGTTATTGGAGACCAATTGACTATAGCCCTTTTCTGTTAAAACATTGCAAACGATAAAAGTGTATAGGGATGAAAACAAAATAAAAAAGTAAGTGATTGCTAAAAGGCATGTTTCATTTGTAATGGTGCCACTGTTCAGTGGAGAGTATGAGCTTTGGGGCTGCAGCTCATCATCACAAGATCTCCATAAAAATTACTTGTGCTCTGACTTTTCAAAAGCACGTGAGTGATTCAGAACATGCGTCCCACTGATTTTCACTGGGATTTATGCTCTTAAAGTGCCTGGCACTTTTGAAAATAAAGTGGAATGTCAATTGGATAGTCAATTGTCAATACTCAAAATACTCTCCCCATTAATATGTTATATTGCAGACAGGTACTCTTCTCTTGGCCCCAGAAACCAATTCAGTGAGCAATATAATATATGAGATATATTTCTGGATGGTAATGTCTTATATGCTTCAAAAACAAATTGAAAAAAAAAAAGACATCATTAGCTTATGCAAAAAAACCACACACCAAACCCCCTAAACCCTTGGTTATTTCTACTGAGGATCTTAAAAACACTCCTGGGGCCTTGTCTCCTTTAAGAAAAAAGGACGCTCTTTAGTTACCTTTCAATAAATGAAACTGCTTCCTCCAGGATAAGGGCAGTTGTCCTTTCCAGCTTCATTGGTTGTTCAGTAATGTCATAGTTCCGCATCAGGATACAGTTCCAATATTGCACAAATCCATAACTGGAGTACCAGGAAATGAAAAAAAGAGAACCAGCTAATGCAATCCAGGCGACTATTTTCCAGCTGGTGGAGATCAAGCCAGTGATTTTTCCAATGGTAAGGGTCAGCACAGCAAAGACAATTATCTGAGTGTAAAGCCAGAGTTTGGCTTGAAGGGCTGCATCCAGCTCGGGAGGTTTGTTTTTCTGGCAGTTGTTTAGAAGAGTAAAAGGCATGCCATAAAAATAATCAAAACCGTGGTTTAAAGGGTGGTGGCAGTGATCATTCAGGGCATCACAGTTCATGCCCTGATGCCACTTCCCTGAAAGTTAAACAAACAAAGAAAGCAACTGTCAAGCCTTAGGAGAGCTAAGTGCATGTTTAAATAGCATCCAGTGGAAGTGAGTTATATGGTGCCTGGGCTCCAGGAATATTTAGGGCCTCGAGATGGGTTTTACCAATGTTCGGGGCCAGGTCTTTCCCCCCGGCCCTGCTTGCCACCTTCAGGTGATTTAAAAGGGCCCAGAAGCCCCCAGCATACCACCACCATTAGCTTTCTGCCTGCCCACTCCACACTATTCCCAGAAGCAGCCATGGCTCCTAGCGTGGTGGTCTCTGCATGCTGTCCCTGGCCCAAGCCACTGCCATACTGGTGTGCAGCTTGTTCTTGGGAGCTGATGCCACCCAAGGTAATCCAATTCCCTCAGTTCCTCCAGCACCCCAACCTCCTGCCCCATACCAGAGCATTCACCCCATGCCAAAACTGCCTCTCAGAGTCGTATCTCGCACCTCTCCTGCACTCAAACTCTCTCCCTGAGCCTGAACCCTCTCCTGCAGCCCAACCCCAGCCCAGAGCTTGCAGTCAGCACCTAAACTCCTCCCTAGAGCCTGACCCTTCACTCCTTCTGCACTCAAACTCTCTCCCAGAGCCTTCAGCAGGTGGAGGGGGGGGGGAGTAGGATTTGGACCTGATCTGGCCACCACCAAAAATGACCCAAACCTGTACAATAGCAGCCTCAGCAATATAAGAGGGAGTAGTCAGCTCAGTCTGGGTTCACTGCCAGACAAGAAGGATGCTCCTTGTCGACTTCTGCCTAAGAAACACTAAAACCCCGGACTGGGGAAGCCAGAGACACCAAGATCCCCCAGGGAGGTCAGAGCTAAAGGGGGTTGCATTGACTGAAGAACCCAGAGACCTTGAAGATGCACAGATTGCTGACTGGAGTGAAAAGGGAGGAAGTAGTTTCAGGGGCCATGGGGGAGGGGGAAAGCCATTGTTCTGAGGCCCCATCAGCATGTTGCAGATGGGGCCCAACAGGACACACTTGCAAAGGCCCTGAGCTGGGACAGAGTGGAGCAATGAATCCACTGTGTAGACAACAGAGTTTTATAATGTCTTATGTAATGTGCTTAATGGGTAGAGTGAAAATAAATGTTAATCAGCTATAACTCTGCTGGCCACCCTTCCCTGGATAGCAGGGAAGAACAGTCTTCTAGATCCTTAATAAAGATGCACCAGGTGCTCTGGTCCTGAGACTCAGCATAGGCAGGGGAACCACCATTTTCCTTCTTTAATCTGACTGGGGCATGAACACAGTGAACGTTGCCCTTCAAGCCACTGTGTCCCCCGGCCCCTTTCTGCCAGAGGCCCCACAACCAGCATTCCCAACACCAAGCCAATCAGGACCTGGGGGCAGAGGAGCATGTAAAATTGTTCGCTGTTCAAAGCGGCTGGTGGCTCCCTCCAGGTGCTGCACACCCAGGGGATGGGAGGGAACCACCAACCGCTTTGAATGGTGAATGACTTTGCATGCTCCTCTGCCTCCAGGTCTTGACTGGCTTTGGGGCGGAGGAGCAATAGGGAGGCCATGGGCCAGACCAAATGACTTGGCAGGCTGTACCCGGCTCGTGGGCCATATCTCGCCCACCTCTGGACTGGGTACTCATCTCCTGACGACGGGAGTCAGTGATAAGGTTTCCTGACACCTTCAGGGACTGTTTTGTGGAGCAGCTGGTTTTGGAACCCACAAGATTTAGTTATTGATTTGAACAAGAATCCAGTCTTGATTTAGTCCTAAGTGGAGCACAGGATCTGATCCGAGAGATGAATATAGCCAGACTACTTGAAAATAGTGTCCATAAATATCAATGTAACCTCCCTCTAGTAGGAAAAATACCGCAGCAGCCCAAGAACATAGCATTTAATTTCAGACAGGGGAACTACAGAAAAATGAGGAGGTTAGTTAAGCAGAAATTAAAAGGCATAGAGCCAAAAATTAAATCCCTGCAGGAAACTTTTCAAAGACACCGTAATAGAGGCTCAACTTAAATATGCACCCCAAATTAAAACACAATCAGAGAACCAAAAAAGTGCATCCGTGGCTTAACAACCAAGTAACGAAGGAAGGAGTGAGAGATAAAAGGCATCGTTTACAAAGTGGAAGTTCAATCCTAGTGAGGAAAATTGAAAGGAGACTAAACTCTGGCAAATGAAATATAAAAATATGCTCAGGAGAGCTGAAAAACAATTGGAAGAGCAGCTGGCCCAAAACTCTAATGGCAACATTTCTTTCAAAGTGTATCAAAAGCAGGAAGCCTGCTAAACAACCTCCTCCCCCCACCCACTCCCACACCATTGACAGGCATGGGGGGAGTCAGGCTGGCGGAGGGGTTCAGGTATTGGGCATTCTGCGTCTGTGTCTGATGTTAACACAGAAAGATATCAGAAGGATCCTTGTGATTCAGCATGATCATAGTGTTGCTCTTAGGAATAGTTAGAATACAGGTTGTGTTATAAAGAAAATATAATGAATGATTAAAAGTTTGTACTAACAGAAGCTTTGTATTGGAAGAAGATTGATACCTTTTGTATGAACAATTGTATCCCTTTTCCCACATGACAATTGTGTAGCTCCTGACATGGGGCAGCGAATGAGTTTGGAATGTGAGTGTTTGGAATGAGATAACAACTGGTAGGCTCAGCAGCTTCAAAGTTCAGATGGGTGAAGAAAGAGGAGATGAAGCCGTAAGACTCAGAGGCACCAAGGTGCAGGTTGAACTTCTAACATCCAGGACTCTCTGATCCGGCAACATCTGTGGTCCGGCAGGATCACAGATATTGCTGGACCAGAGAGCCTCGGCTGGCCAGGTTCAGAAGTGCAGTCTGGGATAGGCTGGTGGTGAGGAGCACAGCCCCTCTGAGGCTAGTGAAGTGGGGAGTGCAGACTGAGAGTAGGCCAGGAGCAGAGCCTACAGTTTGGTAGGGAGTCTTGATCTCCCCTTGTCCGGCAAACTCTGTGATTCAGGACCTCTCAGGTCCCCAGAGTGCCGGAAAAGGGAGGCTTGACCTGTACCATCAATTGGGCCCAATATAAGGCAGACCAGTGCAGGACATAGAGGAGGCCTTGTAGTTAAGAGCAAGCACCCCTTTTAGATAAACACTAGGAAGGAGGCACCAATATATTGATGTCAGATGACAAAGAAAAATGCTTCCTAGATAAACAGATGTTACACAGAACTGATGGTAATTAATGAAGAGCTGACACAGTAAAATGTATAGACCCGAATGGGAGAAAAGTCCTATAAAAGATGGGGCATCTTGCATGAATCTCCGGGTCTCGTCTTGTCAAGATTGGAGCATCGGTCTGGACCGAGAGAGCCCCCACTCTTCCTCCCCCTTCACATGCAACTCACCAGGCCACTGAGTTAATGTGAACAACAAACTGGTAACTTTAAGCAATGACAAGAAGGTGTGTGTATGGGGGGAAGGGGTGGGTGTATGGTGATATGTGTGAATATGCCTATAACAGAATAATGTTATGTTGTCAATTAATGTGGCGTTTTGCCTTACCTCCCTAACAGATCCTGTGAAATTCTTTCAAGTATAACATATCTGTCCCCCTACCTGGCTGCTATCCCCTCCCAGTGGCACCCTGTGCAAGCTGTCACTTGACCATACCGCTACCCTATTGACTGTGCAGGTAGGCCATACAGATGTGACCAGAAGGTGATCTTGTTGGCTCCGGCTCCAGGCCATCCCTGAATGTGGGTCACATAACACTATTGTCCTGTGGAGCAAGGCAATTCCATAGTCTCTGGCCTTTGGGCCTTAAAGCCCTGTAGATCAGGGCACTTTTATGAATTCTTCCACTAGGATGTCATAGTTTTGGGACAGAGGACAGCTTGAAGGATGGGATCTCTCCACCCTATCACAATGAGGAACATATTATATTATCCAGTTATGTGCTACCTATCTGCACTCAATTTCTGTATCCCTTTTTACCTCTAAACCAAATTCAGTTATTCAAGTTCTTTTGTTGGATGTGTGTGTGTATCTCTATAGGGAGCACTAAGGGAGTTTTATTAAGCTTTGGAAAGACTCCTGAACCTAGTGCAATGCTCAGCTGCTCTAAACATTCTAACCATGCCACCTCATGTGACATTTTCCACTTCTATTAAACAGTGCTACTTTGGGACAACATTGGATGAGCGTAAAGTCACCATAAATATCACAGAGGTAGTGTTTCCTAGTGGACAGACAATTGGATGGTGACTCAGGAATTTTATGTTTTATTCCTGCCTCTGCCACCGGCCTGCTGGATGACCAAGTCCCATGCCTCAGTTTCTCCATATGTCTAATGGAAATAATAATACTGATCTCCTCCTGAATAAAGCACTTTGAGATCTTTTGATGAAAAACCCTGTAGGGGAGCTGGCTTTAAAGTGTATGATCCCTTCTGGCTTTAAAGTCTATGAGGTATTCTTACTGTTATTATTAATAAAGATACCAACACCTATTATTTTTTTCACCAGCTGAGGGACTACACATCTGTGACCCAGTCTCCCAAACAGCCGGGTATCATTCCTGTGCCAACTCATGATAAAACATACTCCTACATACCTATAAGTCCTGTGGTATAACCTTGCTGACACAGCACCTTGGCAAATGTTGTTTCATTTACAGGGAGTCCCCCTGAGCCAGCATTCCACTGCAGAGCACGATACCCACTACTGGAAGCCATGCCTGCAGTACATAACAAAACACACCTATTCATTTTCTGATTGCTTTGTCAGTGTTTTAATTGCTTAGGTCCTGCTCCTGCCAAGATTTAAGCATGGTTATATATATATCTTTTATTGGACCAACTTCTGTTGGCGAGTGAGACAGAAGCTTGTTTCTCTCACCAACAGAAGTTGATCTAATGAAAGGTATTACCTCACCCACCTTGTCTCTCTAATATATCAGGATGAGCACAGCTTAAAACAACAACAACAACGAATACTGCATACAAGATTCATCCAAGCATACAATATTTATTAACTTTGAAACTAGTGGTACTATTTATGATGTCCCACATTTATCTTGCAGGATCAAGGCCATAAGAATAAAAGATAAGAGTCACAAATTATTTTTATGCTAATGTAGGTGTTTGCATGACACTCATTGCAAAATCAAAACACTTCAATAAGTCAAGGATACAGCAGGACAGTATTTTATAATAAACATACAATATTTGGCACCGTTTTTTGCATCAGAGAGGCGGGGTAGCCCATGGATTGGCACACAGATTTGTGGTTGAGAAGCACAGTTTCCATTTTTAGCTCTGTCCCAGACAGATCTATCTAGCCGTGGCTAGAACCATATGACTGAAGAATAGCTAACATCATACCTATAGTTAAGAAAGGGGGAGAGGGAAAAGTAATCTGAACAATTATTGGACTGTTAGTCTGATCCCAATAGTATGAAAGAATTTGTAACAAATTGTGAAGGAAAGAATAATTAAATTCACAGAAGTAAACAATAAAGGTTTACCAAAGGATATCATGTATGTCTAAATTGATTTTTAGATGAAAGAAGTGCAATAAATCTATTGCATACTTGGATTTTAGTAAACCATTTGACATGTTACCACATTCTAAATTATTACAGGTTGAACACTCTCTGGTCCGGCAACATCCATGGTCTGGCATGATTTTCATTAGCCAGTGTCCACTTACCATGGGTGTGGCCAAGTTTCCCACGGTCCCATATAGTTTGCTTACAGCCACCACTCTTGACTCTCAGTATTCTGTGCTTCTATTTAGCTCTAATTTGCCCCTAACTGTCTTCTAAGAGCCCCCTAAGTAGTGGAAGTGTTGGTAATGCTACTAGACATGATCTTAGCCACATCCCATAGTCCAGCAAGTTCTCTGTTTGGCACCAGTCAGGTCCCAAGGGTGCCAGACTAGAGAGGTTCAACCGGTAAGTACAAGCTTTGTAAGGTGGATTAGGAATTGTCTAAAAAGAGAGAAGACATCAGGTTATACTGAAAGGTAAATTATCAGACCAGAGGTAGTTCACTGGTGAAGTTCCTAAAGGATTGCTCTTGGGATCCTCCTCTCACTTCCCACAGTGATTGCCATTAAAAGATCATTGTTTACCAAAAGTTACCACTTGAAACTGAGATACCAGTAACAAGGTATGTTCTTAGGATACAAAATAATGGCATGATCTTATATTCCTCCCTATGGTGATTGTGGTAGATATTGACTTATTACTGCTGACCGCTGGAGCTCAGATATTAACACAGACAGCGCTGCAACACTACACATGTGCCCAACCTGATCGGATGGGGTATCTGCCAGTCAGGAAAGCTGCTCTACTTGGAGTACAAAGTGGAGCTGCAGCAATGTGCTGAGTAAGTTTCACCCCTTCCTTTGCCAACCGGTCAATATTTGGGGTCCTACAATGACCAAACAAAAGAGGAGTATGTTAATGCAAGAAGGGAGCAAATTGAAGCATATGTACAAGAAACTTACTACTAGATAAATCAAAACTAACTCAACTTTCAAATGGCTTCCCTAGAAGCTTTCCTCTTTTCTGCTTTATGTACTTTAAGAATGTGTTTGGTATAGTGGGTGAGTAACCTTTCATCGCCAGAGAACTAAGACCAAATTCATCCCTGAGGTAACTCCACTGATTTGACTGCATTACCACAGGTATAAATCTGGCTACTGTTTTCAAATATGGCTTAGCTTGTAAAAGTGAATCTACTGAAATTACACATGCAAATGGTATGATGAATGTAGAAGGGATAATTTCCCATTGAAATACTTTGAATATATCACTTTTAACAGGCATTTTACAGTCCTATATTTTGGAGCTTACCAATCCAAAACTTCCTATAGGGTATCTGGAGTTCTTCATTGCTATGTTAGCACTACAGATTATATACTTCAGCACATAAGGGTATAGGTATACAATGATATTATTTTATAAGTTCCTAGCTCTCCCAGGAGATAGGCATGCAGTAACAGTAGGAAGTAAACACACCTTCTAGCCCTTCCTAACTCCACCAATGGCAGATATTGACAATGAGTGCAGGAAGTCTACAGTGCTCTTTCCCACAACCTCAGCACTGTCATGAGAAGCAGGAGGAGACCCCTCTACTATCTATCTGGAATTTCCTGTAAAAAAGATAATTGTTCTTCAGGAGGAACAGGGGTTCTGAAAAGCATCCAAAGGTATGCTCCACATGACCTTCTGCTCCTGCTAAAGATCCAGTGCTGACTGAGAGAGTACAGGCCTAATGTGCCATCCCTCATGAGTGAATTAGTGAGTGCCAGCCCACAGGATCCAATGGGTGGGAGACTCATGTGCCCCCATGAGAAAATGGATGAGGGTTGGAGGAAAAACATAGCTCAGAGAGCAAGGGTTATAGATAACAAGTAAAAGTGGGTAAAGTGTAAATATATATGTAGAGATAGACAAGGGTAAACAATTATGAGCAGCCAAAAATTAATGGATTAAAAAAGGACAGTCAGCTTAAGTGAAAATAATGTTTCCTTCTCCCACTGTTTTTATTATTTATTTTGGCCCCAATCCTGCAAGTGCATACTCATGGGCTTAACTATACATGAGCAGGTCCCATTAACTTCATGAAGGCTACTCATATGTATCAAGTTAAGTATATGCCCAAGTGTTTGAAAAACTGGTGTATTGAACTGTAAAAGTCGCTGGGGCTAGAGCATCTCTTATTTTATGTCTGTAAATCATGTAGCCTACTTGGAAAAAAAATTGAACACGTACATATAGTAATGAGAGAACCTTTACCTTATGGTGTTGTTACCATAGCAACCTATATCTCCAATGCCAAGATCATCTGCCATTATCAGTAATATATTGGGTTTAGAGTCCACAGATGCCCTCATTCCACATGTCTTTGGAAATAGGCATAATGCCAGCAGAGTGGTTAGGTAGCTCCTGAAATGCAGTACAACAATGTGTTATCTGTATGAACCACTGTATTGGTCACAAGGTAAATACTAATATGATTCAAAGTTTCAACTAATTTAGGACAAAATGCAGCCTCTGCCTGTCTGGCTGAGGGGAGTGCTACTGTCAAGGGGTCTGGTACATGAGGAAATGGGAGACTAGACACCGGAGTGGGTGTGAAGGAGGCAGGACAGAGACTCCATTTTTGCTCTGTGTATCCTCCTATCTACTCCTTCTCCACCTACTGGCCTCCCTGCCCCCATGCAGGCTCTTCTAGTCATTGGGCTGCCTTTGCGGATTTCCCACTAAGGCATGCATTCAAGAGAGAGGATTCCTTATCCATTTACCTGGCTTTCATTCTGGCTACAGGATTGTAATCTGAGGGTAACATCTTCAAAAGTGACTTAAGTTCTTAAATATTTTTTCACACTTTTTATTATACTAAGTATGCCCATCTTCTACAGGGTCCATTCAATAAGAACAACAAAGTCCTCAGCTGCTCCCAATGTCAGTTAAAGATTATATTCCTCGGGCCCGGTGAGGGAATCAGTAATTTTGCTGGAGTAAGGATGGTAGCAGGCTCATAATATTTTCCAAAAAATACTCTCTCAATATCAATCCACTTTTGAGCCTTTACTTTTTCAAGGATTGCTGTCAAACTGTTTTACGCCAAAAATGTGATATATGAAAAGAATAGCTATCACCTCACCAACGAGCTGGAAATTGAAACATAGTTGTATATCATAATACTGTATAGAAGATTGCTCTGCTTCATACTGCAAATAAGGAATATACAGCTGCAGCCACTGAATTCATTGAGACCAAAGTTCTTGTTCTTATGCAATTGTCTATTAATAATTTGTGGGATGGCTTTGTATTGCTATGTGAGAAACTTGTGTCTGGACATTTTGAGAATTCCACTCACACACATTACTTGTTCTCAGAAAGGGAGGCTGCTAATTACAGTGCAGTTAAAGACAGCTGTTAAAAGTCACACTATGTTTTACTGGTATTATGAACTCCCACAAAGAGCATGAAGGGTGATAAAGTAATAGCTATGCAAGGTAATGGAAGGTAATACAATGTATCAGAGGAAAAATAACAGCCGGGAGGAGAACAGTTTAATAATCTATGCAGGAACTTTCTTTTGAAATGGACAGACAGGAAGAACATTATTTTCCAGCCTACCATTAAAATCAAGGCAGTTTGACTTTAAGAAAGCTGCTTTTATTATCATCTGCAGGTGTCCTAGATCTTAACTTTTGCATATTACGAGGTTCTAAATATTGGTCGATGGAAATGGAGATATCTACCTACAGTAAATTCCTGCCCAGGCAATTGAATTTTGCAGCCTAATGTACATTCCAGTTGCAGTTTCAAATGGATGCTGTAAGCTGCTGTGCTACTATGTAAAGAATGATGGCCTTTTAGTAGTAAGGGTTTTGCAGGCAGTCTTCACGTTCTTCTCATCTTCACCCCAGAGACGGTCTAGATTAGTAAATAATATGAAGCAAAAAAACTATGTTGTGCAAAGTGTGTCAGAAACAAGATGGGCAGCACGGAGCAATGCCACCAGAACACTTTATATGAACTTAGTCTTTGTTACGTCCCTCTGGGGTCTCATATTTTAAATTTATATATATATTTGTATTGTGTTTTTTTGTAAGCCTCCTTGAATATTTTAAATAGAGAGGCAGGGTAAAAATATTAAAATAAATAAATAAATAAATAAATACATATTTCCTAAAGTAAGGAACAAGGGCATTGTGAGAGCTAATTACTTATTCTTGAGTAGACTAGGGTAAAAAGGAAATGTGGAAGTTGAATGTACCATCTACAAAACTTTTATTGTTCATTCACCCCCATCATGCATAACCACTCATGTTTCTTAAAGAACATGTGTGAGGTCAAAACATTACCATATCTTCCTTTACAAACAAACAAACAAACAAACAAACAAACAAACAAACAAACAAACAATCTGTCCCTTCTAGTTAATTCCAAGAGGAATGTAGTCTGGTTGAGAGATTGGCATCTTGCACTGCTTGTCTAATCAAAAGAGAGGAACGGATCGATCTAGGAATCTGTACAAAAGGTTGAAAGAATAAGCTGCACTAGTGAAAGGAAGAGACACCAAGAGAGAAAAAATATATTAATGTAATGGAATTTTATAAGGAAAATCACAACACATGCAGAATTTCAAGGCAAGCATAGCTGCAAGATTCATCTGGATCTGAAGTGTTTGGTAAGCTGGGTGTGGTTAAAGCGAATGCATTTTAATACAGCCAAATATAGACCAAAATTATATATCCAGGAACAACATTGAAAATTTCAGCAGTTACACATTTACTTCTTTAAACGCATTTTAGCATCCCTAATGCACTTTAACCTTACATAAACTATATTTGACATAAGCAAAAGTAATTGGACTCAGTACAGGGCTAAGTAGGTGAAATATTACAGCCTGTGATTCACAGGAAGTCAAAGTATACGATTGCCCAGCATCTAGCAATTTACTCTGATTTAGCTGGCATTGTTTGGGTCCTTAACTCAATTTTTATTTTTTGGAAAATAAAATGAAAATATGCATGCTTCATGTAAATCATTGCTTTGGTGGGGAGAGGGCTCCGGATGAGGAGCTCAGTATGCAGGCTACCTGGAGAGAGAGGACTACCACGGCCCTCTTTCACTGCATCAGTTTGGGGTCAGGTGAGAAATGTCTCATCGTGGCAGTTGCAGCTCTAGCAGGCATAACTCTGGGAAGGGTGCATGTCCCCTGGGTGGGGGTAGGGTTGCCAGATGGTTGAAACAAAAATACCGAACGCCCGCCCCCCGCCCAAAATGGGAAAAAATTCTGTTGAAGGGGGGAAAAAAAGGGGGGGGGGGGATGTAAAAAGGT